ATTTCTCTAACTCTCTCTCTCTCTCTCTCTCTCTCTCTCTCACACACACACACACACACACACACACTGTCCGAAATTGGATTCAACCCGGGTTTCCCGTTGAACCCCCGTTACAACTCCGCGCTAAACCGCGTTAGAACGGGGTTCAACTCAACCCGCAAAAACTGTTTTCGCTGGCAAGAAATAATAAAAAATAAAATAAAAAAATATAGGGGTGTAGATGTTTTTGCGCTCTACATCCCCATATTTTTATTTTTATTTTTTGAGCATTTAAATTATTTAAAAAAAATCAAAAACCTAACCAGACTCCAAACACTTCGATTTTTTTTTTTTTTTTTCCCTACATGTATTACCCGAAAAAGTAAGGAGATCTTGGTTCCCCTCCTCCTCTCCTTCAACCACCAGTGCCTCGCGCAGCTATCAAGTCCGAGGCTCGGACTACAGGTAGCCCAATCATTCCCGATCCTCGGACTTTATTGCCGAGCCTCGGAAAACCGGTAGTGCATAAAAATAAAAATAAAAAAATAATAATAAAAAAAAAAACATACCACTTTCTGCAAAAAAAAACAGCCGAAATCATACATGCCCAACGAGAATTTATCGAGGAGATAAAGAGGAAGATTCATTCTCGTGAGAGAGAGAGAGAGAGAGATTGGGCATCAGCCAACTCGATTTCAATGGGATTCAACGGGAATTCAACGAGAATTCAACGGGAATTCAACGGGATTCAACGGGATGAATTTTTTTTTTTGCTCCACGTGCACTCCGCGACGTGTCCGAGGCCCGATGCGCCCTTCCCGTTGAATACTGGAGGGCCCGTTGTACTATTCAACGGGGATTCAACTGGGCCCCGAGGGCTATTCAACGGGTACAACGGAGTTGATTTCCGTTGCACGTTGAATGGACACATAGCACACACACGCACCAAAAAAAAAAAAAAAAAAAAAAAAAGGAAAGAAAAATGAAAGCACGATTTCGCGCCTCGTATCCCGTCTTCACCTCCGACCCCCTTTCAGCGACTTCCCCCTAGCTTTCCCCCCTCTCCCCTTCAACTTTTCCTCTTCTCCCTCCTTCCCCTTCACTGTACTTTTCCCTCTTCTCGTACTTCCCCTTTGTTGTCCTCCTCCTCCTCCAGCTCCATCTCTTTCTGCCTCCATACCCTCCCTCCCTCTTAGGCTTTCGCCTTCCTTTTTACACCGCATTCCTCTTCCGCTTCCGCGTCCTCCCCTTCATGTCACTTCGTCTACCTTTCGCAATCAGAGTGAATAGGAAAGAAAAACAAAACCACCATAGCCTCACCCTCCCCTTCATGTCGTTTCGTCTCCCTTTCTTGATCAGAGTGAGGCTCCCTTTCGCAATCACAGTGAATATGAAAGAAGTAAAAAAACCACCATAGCATCACCCTCCCCTTCATGTCCCTTTCACGAGCAGAGTGACTAGGAAAGAAAAACAAAACCACCATAGCCTGTTTTGGCCCCCTTTCCCAACGCCCTTATCATCTTACCTTGTCCTTGCAAATAGTGCTCCTTACTCCTTATCTTTCATCTTCAATCATCTTCAACCTCGTTTTCATCAGTCAGCGTCGCCATGGTAGGGTGCTTGGTCTCTCTCTCTCTCTCTCTCTCTCTCTCTCTCTCTCTCTCTCTCTCTCTCTCTCTCTCGCGCGCGCGCGCGCGCGCGCGCACNCTCTCTCTCTCTCTCTCTCTCTCTCTCTCGCGCGCGCGCGCGCGCGCGCGCACTCACACGTGTGTACCCACCCACACACACTTCGTGTGTTAGTGTGAACCCCACGAAAAAAGCACGACTGTGCCAGACTGTTTCGTTGGACTTTCACCTCCTCATTGGGAGTTTGAACCCCGACAGTCTGCCTGTGATGCATTTGCATGCATGCATCTGTTCATGTTTGTGCGTGTGTTCATGCATGCGTTTGTTTGAGTGGACGGACGGGCGTTGGTGGCGTTGGACCTCAGTCCCGGGAAAGTGCCCCCCTGCAATGGCCAAAAACTCTCTGGCCCTCTACACAGGGCCCTATTGGTTGTCCAAAAATCGCACACCAATCCAGGCCGTCCCAGCCAAACGGCTCTGATTGCCCCACGATCATTCAAGATCGCAGGGCAATCCGGGCCGTCGGGCCGGTAGGACCGTGAACCGCCTGGATCACCGTGCGATCTTAAAATCTTAAGATTGCGGGGCAATCCAGACATCGGGCCGGTAGGTCCACGGACAGCCTGGATGCCAAAATTCTCACA